TTATCATTCCACGATCACTTCGATTATACTTACCATTGTCTGCATCCTGCAAACTAATGTCTGTCAAATCAGTCGGCTCAATCAGCGTTACCATCAACAAAGTCTCCTCTACCATCGCAGATGAGGCAGGCTCCACGCATAAGACTTAAACAACAAACTTCCGCATCATCATCATCTACTCTTTCTCCTTCACGCACTAAAATATCATCTGTACCAAGACGTACACCTAAAAATTCCACTCTTTCGAGCACCAGCACAATGACTAATCCAAGTAGCCCTGCAAAGACCAATGCTGGTGGTAGCAATGGGAAACGACGAAGAGATAGTTCTAGTAGTGCGTCCAGCACGGCAGATTTGTCAGAAAAAAAGGACGATATACATGAAAATGGCGTTCTAGATCTAAGCTCTGATGAAGAATATGGAGACATGTTATTAGAATACATGAAGCAATTACATCAAAGACAAAGAAAGGTTGTGGAAGATTTCGAGAAGAGGCAGAAGGTGGGTTACTGTGAGATATTTGGCTTTGAGTTACCATTTAAAGTGAGGATTGGGATGCAGTACAAATTAACGCAGACATCAATGCGACAGTCAAATTGGGCGATATGTGAGTTTTGCTTTATAATTGCTAATTATATATAATATTGTAGAACAAGAGAGTTAAGATGGTTGAGAAATGGGGAATCCGCGTACAGAAGAAACCTCTTAAAAAGCCCATCGGTACCCAGCAGTCGCTCGGCCGCGGACGAAGAGGTAAATCACCACAATTGCTCGTTAGGAAATTTGGACATCCTACGCAGGTACGCAACGTAATCAACGATAAAGATAGGCAGAAGCTGTCTTTTGCTTACAATGATATTATAATTTGTAGGTTAATGTTGATCGAAGAAGACAAGACGCATCCGTTCGTAAGAAGGAGAAAGCAGAACTTGACGAGAGACGACGTATATGGCGTGATATTTCGCGAAATGCTATTCCAAAGGTATACTACTAGCATAAAACGTCTGTTTTCATTTCTAAGGCTTAACTAATACCCGTTCATTATCCAGGCCTACAAAATAGTAACTCAGTACACGTCCTCACGACAAACCAACGCGCGCAAAATTGCCCAAATTTGCCAGAAGGAAGCTCGCAAGGCCCAGACAAAAATTTCCCGTTCTCAAAAAGATGCCACTCAGAAATCGAAACAACTCTGTAAAGCGGTTCTATTGCATTGGAAGCGTCATGAGAAAGAAGAGCGCGAGGCACGCAAAAAAGCAGAACGTGAAGCGCTAGAACGACAAAGAGAAGAAGAAGAACGGCGGGAAGCCGAGAGACAGCAGAGGAAGTTGAATTTCTTAATCACACAGACCGAGCTATATAGTCATTTTATTGGCAAAAAGATAGGACAAGCGGTAGATGTTTCGAGCGCAGAGGCTGGATTATCTAAGATGGATATAGATGAAGGAGAGCTGAATGATGCCAAGCCTGACGAGTTTACTTCTTTCAATGATATAGATTTTGATGAAGGTTTGTGGGGATATGTTAAGATGGCTATTAACTATCAATTCACACTGACGATAACGATTCGATCAATTAATTTATCACGAAATTATAGTCTCTGATGAGGCACTAAAAGCAAAGGCTCGTGCAAGTGCACAGAATGCTTTAGCCCAAGTCATTGAGCATACGCGTAACTTTGATGGTGAACGGCAGCGAGATATGACTTTGAATGGTGCTGATATCGATCAAATGAACTTTCAAAATCCAACGAGTATGCCCTCTGCTCCTGAAATTAAACAACCAAGTATGCTCATGTGTCAGCTGAAAGAATATCAGCTCAAGGGTCTGAATTGGCTGGCTAATCTTTATGAACAAGTGAGTTTTCATTTTTAGTGTAGCTAGAATTTGTATGGGATATCGATTGATTGCCTTCTTCTTGTACGTCTTAGGGCATTAACGGAATTCTGGCTGACGAGATGGTAAGTTTAATAATCGTCCAGAGACTGAACACCACATTTTGATATTTTTTTTTGCGTCAATTCACTTTATTAACACATTGTCAATATAGGGTCTCGGCAAGACTGTTCAATCGATAGCCTTAATGGCTCACTTGGCGGAGACCCACAATATCTGGGGTCCATTCTTGGTCATAGCGCCCTCTTCAACGCTACATAATTGGCAACAAGAGATTACTAAATTTGTGCCCATATTTAAGGTAGAACAAGATTAACGCAACAATACCATTACTTTTGTCTCCATATCGTTTCAGATTCGGACTGACGATTTTTTCGTTTTCGTTGTAGGCTTTGCCATACTGGGGTAATCCCAACGATCGTAAGACTCTTCGTAAATTCTTGAACAAAAAGAATCAAATATATACAAGAGATGCTCCCTTTCACATTGTTATCACAAGTTATCAATTGGTAAAGCCTCAATGGATTAGTAACGATATTAGGATATGCTGTTAGGATGCTAAGCGATCGTTTTATTTGATACAGATTGTGCAAGATAAGGCCTATTTCGAACGAACTAAATGGCAATATATGATACTTGACGAAGCTCAGGCTATCAAAAGCTCTTCAAGGTATTTTTGGTTCCAATGGGTATCCGTATATCTTTTTCTACTAGATATTTCTAACACTTGTGTACGCAACGGACAGCGCTCGTTGGCGAACTTTACTAGCGTTCCAATGCCGAAATCGTCTCCTCCTCACCGGAACTCCCATTCAGAATAGCATGGCTGAACTCTGGGCGCTACTCCATTTCATTATGCCCACTCTTTTTGACTCTCATGCAGAATTTAGTGAATGGTTCTCCAAAGATATTGAGAGTCATGCGGAAAATAAGGGTACACTCAATGAACATCAACTAAAGAGGCTTCATATGATTCTGAAACCTTTCATGCTTAGAAGAATTAAGAAGAATGTCCAGAATGAACTGGGAGATAAAATCGAAATTGAAGTTCCATGCGAGCTTACTGCACGCCAGAGAATGCTATATCGCGGATTAAGAGCAAAAATATCAGTAACAGAATTACTAGAAAAAGCGACCTCATTGAATGAGAACGAGAGCGTTGACAGTTTGATGAATCTGGTCATGCAGTTCCGTAAAGTGTGCAACCATCCTGAATTATTTGAAAGAGCGGATGTAGTTGCGCCATTCAGTTTCTGCAAGTTCGGAATGACATGGTCGCTTGCTCGTGAGGGTGATAGATTACATGTCGCCTATTCTGTCAAGAATGTTATTGACTACAATATCCCGGCACTACTTTTCTGCGAAGGTGGCATATTAGATGTTCCAGGACATCGGACAAGATCTGGATGGTGGTCAAAGTATATTTGTTTATTACTGAGCATATGGCGGGCTGATTATATTCACCGGTCAATCTGGGATGGCGAAGATAAAGAAGAAAGTAAGTCATCAATCAATCGCATTTACGATTAGTAAAATGGTTCCGACTAGACAATTTACTAATATTTTTCATTTACGTGACGTAGAAACTTTCTCGTTTACGAGGTTTATTGGTTTAAATCCAAGCGAAACTGAACTTATATATAGAAATGATATTATACTTAGATGGCTTCTCCATTGCCTACATAATCCATCACTAGAGGAGCAGTCGCCGTTTTTAATTGTATCGGCATGCTCTTATTCTGTTCGTCCACTCAACCTTTTCTCACACTCTACTTTACCAAAAGAGGATTCCCTACTCGGATCTACATACTACGATAAAGCTCCCTTGTCTGCATCTCAGAGATTAAAGGGCATGGCGCTTCGTAGAAGTCGCACCTTGATGTCATACTTAGAACCAATATATATGCCAAAGGTATTAGCTTCTCCGATTGAAGCGTCATGCGAAAACCGCTCCTGGTATTATCATCAGATGGATATATTGCACAATAGACAGATCGATTCGTTTTTATATGGATTGAAAGAACTATTATATGAGAAAGAGAGGCAATCCACAACGTACGGCCGCATACTTGCTGAAAGAGAACGGATTGGTATTACGAAAGATCGACTCCCAATATTCGGAATGTTGACGTGGAAGAATCAGAGTTACGTTCACATGCGAATTCCTGGTAAGAATCAAAGATTTGTACCGAACGTTGTCATCAAAATACTAAATATACTCTTAATTTCCTATTAAATTAAAGCTCTCAAGAGATTGATCATGGACTCTGGCAAACTGGCCAATCTTGACAAGTTACTGGAAGAATTGAAAGCAGGCGGACATCGCTGTTTAATATATTTCCAGATGACTCGTATGATAGATATAATGGAAGAATATCTCGCTTATCGGCAGTATAAATACTTGAGACTAGATGGCTCGAGCAAAATTTCTGACAGAAGAGACATGGTTACAGATTGGCAGACCAGGTATTTAATCATCTAGTAAGATGAGCTTTAGCAGGATGATTCGTTATGTCAGAGACTAATCTGTAATGTATTCGTGTTAAATAGACCGGATATCTTCATTTTCCTGCTGAGTACACGAGCTGGAGGTTTAGGAATAAACTTAACAGCCGCAGATACGGTCATATTCTATGACAGTGACTGGAATCCGACTGTTGACCAGCAGGCCATGGATCGAGCTCATCGTCTAGGGCAAACGAAACAAGTTACAGTATACCGTTTGATCACAAGAGGGACTATAGAAGATCGCATTCTCCAACGCGCCAAGCAAAAGGATGAAATACAGAAAGTAGTTATATCAGGTGGAGAATTCAAACAGGTGGACTTCAAGCCTCGTGAAATTGTATCTTTGCTCTTAGATGAGGAGGAGCTACAGCAGAAATTGAGTGAACAAAGCAAACGCAAGGCCGAGGAAGAATCCAGTAAGAAGAAAAGCAGAGTAGTGAAAAGGCAGAAAAGAGATAAGAACACTATAATGACTGCCGGAAATGGCTTTTAACGTGTCATGCAATTGCAGTCTTCACTTATTTGTACAGAATCTAACTAATCAATAAAATTGTGAAGTACCGTTGTGTAAATATAATTGTGTGCCGGATCGTGTTCTAGAATCCCGGAGGAGGGGTCCTCATGGTGACTTTGGTAAATTTAGGTACTTTGTGTAATGATTTCCTATAACCCTTATGCTTTCTGCTAAATACTGTGTACTTATCACATGGCGGCATTTCTGACTCTTTTGGCAGTTGCTTTGCTGCTTCCTATAAACAAAAGATGACACAAGAGCAAAACAAATATTCAAAATTTGACACATATCATTCAATTGGGAAAAAGAGGCTTTCTTTCCTATTGCATAATATGCAGAGATAAGACTCACCAATGCCTTACATTTGACTCCAGACTTTACTAATGTTTCAATTACATTATCGACAGCTCTCAAACGTTTCCTTACATTTGCTTTTCTCGTTCGACTCATTCTCGAAGGCGACTTCCTGAAATTTTCAGATTAATTGATTGGATGACGCGAAGAACACCATAGGCTAAAGTTACAGTTACCATACGAGTCCACCTAAAGCGATCAAACTTGGACGAAAAGGACCAAACATATCTTTTGAGTTATTATTACATTTGCCGAATGGAGAAATATTTTCTCAGCGCTTGTGGCACACAAGCAGAACTCTTGCTGTCGATCATTTCTTATTGAGGGAAACGCGGCCAATTGAAATGTTCTAGCATGTTTGCCATTATTATTATGTGTTTTATATATTTTAAATTTGTGATGAAAAAAATATCGCATCCATTTATCCTCAATATCCGGCTGTGCAACGCAAACCGACAATTGATCGGGAAAAATAAAATCCATATTTATGAAATCATTTTTTGCAAGCGCGTTATGGTGGGTCGTAGTGTGATTTAAAGGCAAGCAACCATTAAGAATCATGATGACAAGCAATACGCATATCGATCCTGAGTTCTTTGCCGAGCTGGATGGAGATTACGCGCTCTTTTAGTAAACAACACGTCATGTTAATGTAAGTTATGTTCATGTTAATGTGAATCATACGAAGCAAATAATTTCGTTCATAGCCTCATCATGTTTGACCTTAACATTGGCATTCTCAACCTCAAGCCCAGTAATTTGGGCCATAAGTCTGGTGTTCTCCTGTCTAAAATAGTTAATCTCGGATTCCATTTTCGAAGCACTTACAGTAATAAACAAGCATTCAAATAAAGCAAACACGTGATTTTTAGCAAACTTTTTATCAAAAAAGTTCGCCAAGAAAATTTTAATAAAACATAATGTAGCCCGTGATCGCACTATGATTTCGTATTTATTGATATATTTACATTAGCACTATATACCAGCTCCACTAAAAAAAATCAAGCGATTGATATATTTACACGAAAATCTTTATTTACAGTGTGTAACGAAAAAAACCGCCTTCCGAAAATTGAACATATTTTGTAAAAAAACCAAGGAGGCGTGTTGTTATTGATGACAAACGCGTCTTTATGTTTGATTACTCCCCATGTTAGTAAACGTATTCAAGTAATAATTATCGTAATTAGTCCCGTTGTTCTCCCCCTTGTCCTTTGCAACATGGAGAGACTTGAAGTTCAACGACAAACAATTATCATTATTGGCTTAATGGCGTCCAATCCCTAAATGAAAGACCAATATTCCTTATCGCATCGAAAACATGTGGCATATTGTCAAGAATAACGTTGAAACATAGATGCTAAGAAGTAAAACAATTTATGACCAAAGAATGGACGCAATTCCAGAAACGACTGTACAAAATTAATTTCATCGATGAAAAAAGAGGTGTGAGCTTGTTTTGCAGAAAAATGGCGATAGAATTTTGTATTGAAAATTTTACCTGCAATAAAGCACATTATAAGCATTTTGCATGGCCATTGAGTTATGGTATATTTTATGATAGCGGTTTTTTTCGTTACACACTGTAACCCATAATAATAATGATGATTGATATATTTACATTAAAAATCGATATATTTTGTAATAATTTTTACTATAATCCATCGAAAGAGATCCTCGGCCTTTAAACCCATCGTGTTTATCTTAAGTCTAAAGAAAAAAATAATTGATTTTATTAATATCATTTTTATCTCAGGTACAAGTCAACATCGCGTAGTGAAATACCTACCGATGTGCCCTCTCCTACAATCAGTGGATGACAGTGGAACTCATTCCCATCCTTTCGATCTTTGTAAAATTACGCAAATGGTGGAAGAACGTACTATGAAAGAAATAAACGATACTGTGCCGAATCCCTCGAGTTACGGGAAAATTTCCATGAAGCAGAAAACGGGAAGAAAATGCTACGACTTGTCGTGGACGAAGTGGAACGATAATCTGGAGTTGTGGAAAACAAAACCCATCCCCTCGAAATTACCAAGAGCGACTAAGCAACACAAAGAATTCGGTTCGTCATGCTCATCCCAAGTGAAAATCGCTTATAGTATTAAAATTAATCGCGATCATAGGAAAGACGCCCGAATACCCCATTCCAGCTTGCTCTCATTGTTCAGCAGCGTCAATGTATTTTTTATCACATCATGAAGTTAGAGATGAACCTATACATATATGAACCCTATACATATATAAGTAATATGTTCTTATTTTGAATGCTCTTTTCTCTATAACCTTTTATTATACCTCAAGTAAAAATCTACAAAGCTAACAGTTAATATTAAAAGAAATTGTGTTACGATGAACCCTATGCGATGGATGTACCGCGCCAGGCAGGGCAAAGTCATATTCGTTGCAATAACGACTGTAAAGAAATTTTTTTCTAATTTTGGTGGCTTGATCAATGATAATGATTTATTTCAAATCAACCACACTTACTTTACAATGCAATAAAATGTCGTTAAAACAATGCATCGTTTAAAGTAGTAAAACAAATCTGTCAATTCCCACCAATAACATCTACACAATTCTTTTTGGAGTATTAACGGGTATTTTCGCTTGCGGCCTTCTCCTAGTATATATATATACTTACAGTATATGCCCTTCGTTAAAGATCAAGCTAACGTTGGCACTATGTTTATTCGGTGCTTAACATTTTGGGCCTGGATAATTATATTTGACTTTGTCTACCCCTTTGGGTTGATTCAGGTGACTCAAAGCTATATAAACACACGCCTGGGAAGTTCAAGTTGCTGCGTCGGCTAATAATTTCTTACAATGTCTGGCAGGTCGTCAAAAACTCGCCGATCGCACGATATACGAAAGAAAAAGTGGAAGAAAAAGGGAAAGGGAAAAGGACATTCTGGAAACATTTTTGAGAAGTACGAGAATCTAACTCGACAAGTGACGAAACTCGAAAAGCAGTTGGCCGAACTAAATTTAGAACGAGGTATCGTAGAAAATAATCCGTGGCTTACATATATCTTTCAGACGGACCATGATACAGAGTATGCTCAATAGCTGTTTTAATATTCAAGCGCTCACTGGAGGAGCTCCGCCACGCAACACTACAAATAATCATATGCAAATACATGGCGCCTTTAATGGAGAATCCAGCTTACGGCCAAGAAAGAAGAAAAAGCCAAAACATAATAACAACACTGTTCGAAATATTCAATCCAAATATCAATCCGAATATTATAAGACACATGCTGACGAATCGTCGAACCTGCCGCCGGATTTATATGAAAACTCTTCGTGTTCCTCTGGAGGTAAAATCACGCATAGATCATGGATGAATTGTCACATTTTTATTTACTACTGTTGCAACGATTGAAGGTTATGAAAGTGAAGTATTGTCACAAGCCTTTGAATGGCTCGATGAAGATGCAGATCCCCCAGGTGTGAAGGTAGAGACCCCAATAAAGCAAGAGTTGACTAATGCAGCTCCAGGACCTTCTCGTGACTGGGGCGGTGCCCTGGCACATAAGCCTGTTAGACGCGAGGAAGACGAGCTTTATAATGAGAGTTTGTTGAAATTGTATGAAAATGGGGATTCTCGGGGCTATATGCAGACCAGTGTTACTCAGAACGATTCGAACCTATCGTTGAATACAGATGATGAGGGGCAAGAAAGATTTTCCCAGATGACAATTAATAGAGGTCAAGCAGGAGTGAAAGGGAAGGGAACAGAGTATAAACGTGGTCGTACAATGCATCCCGAAATTATCAGTGAGGACGAGCTCCAATCAGATGAGATGGAATCTTTACGAGACTATTTTCAGGTGAGGTTACTTTAGCTATATCTGGTTTTCAGGGCATTGATTATTCTAGTCGCGAAGCTCAATGCGTTTATATATCTTAATTTATACATGCTTAGAACGTGTCGGCCAATGATCCGGATTACATTAGATCTTTGGAAGATAAAGAAGCTGCCGCATCGACTGATTCCGATTATAGCGATGATGACTCGTCGAGCGTAGATGGAATCGATTTCGAAGAACTACAGGCGATGGGCAGCGAATCGCGTAATCAAGTAGTTGCCGAGAATGCCATCGGTTTTCGGGCGGTTTCATCAGCTGTCTTCGAAGGTCCAGAAAACGAATGGAACTGCTATGGTTATAATACGTTGGAAGAAATTTATGATGACGGTAATACAGTTTTTCATCAAAGCTCGGTGCAGACTAATGGAGCGCATTCTGGCTATAATGGTTTCACTTCTTATAATGATATGACATTGTCTGGACGCGGAGGTATCTATATTATTTTACAGGTAGATTCATTGTGTAGTCGGTCTATAATTCAAATCAAGTGCAATTACAATTGACAGATTTTAAAGCACGTCTTGAAAGAGTCAACCTCAGATCGGCCAACATGCCTGCAATGACAAATTATGAGAATTACATTGGCGCTTACAAAGGAGGCAAACGGATGAAACAGTTGCGCAGAGAGTTGGATGCACAAGCTTATACGTCTTATCAAGCGAAACGGAAAGAGAAAAAAGAAAGAAAGCAAGCAAGACAAAAACGTCGGGCCGAGAAGAAAGCGGCTGCGGCTGCTGATACTGTATATCCACCGATAAATATTTATAACATTGAACGGCTGATTCGAGAATTTGTAATAGATCCCAGTATTAAGACGTAAGCAAACTAAAAGTCTTAGTCCGAGTCCAGCCATTTGATGACTATAACAACGAATGTGTACTTTTTTTTATTAGCTTGGTGCTTCAACAGATGTTTAGCACGGCGCGCCGCCATGCGCATGTAATAGCAAAGCATTATCGTCTCGAAACAGATTTTAACCACAGAGAGTATTTTTGGTATTGACACTTCTAAGGATTGTCCATGTGTAAAGTAGTTTGTGTCTTGTTTATTAACTGCGTTTGATATCGCTAGTTCCTTGACGATTTATAAGACACAGCTTACAAGAATGCCAAATAATATGGAACGAATACACAAATATTTGGCATTTGCAAAGAAAGATTTGAAACGAATTCGTCCAACAGCGAAAGTGAAAAACCCTGAATTATTGAATAAAGTCAGACCACCGGCCGGGAGCATTGTTGGAGGTTAGCTGACTCTGGATTACTGTGTACTATAAATAAATATATTTATTATTATTATCATTATTATTTTGGTACGATAGCATCAGCACCTCCGATATCTGCCAAGAATATTGGTCATCAGATGCTTTCCAAGTTGGGGTATGTATGTCATTTATGCTTGTGGTCTTACAATTGACGACGTCATACTGAGTTTACGATTTTCTAGTTGGAGCGAAGGCCAGACACTTGGACGCTCGGGAGGAATAGCCGAACCCATAGAGGCTAGGGTAAAAGTCGGACGGAAGGGTCTTGGTGCAAATGAAACGCGGAAGATTTAGACACAAGTAACGAGTGTGAACGGATATCGCTATAAGGGGTGAATTAGATGTATTAAGTAAGTTCAGAGCTGTTATCAGCGGGTGTTAGCGATTCTTGTTCAGCGAACCAAGGCGACTTGGCAACATCAGAGCGTCTAAAAATTTCCAAATTGGACATTACTTATTGTGAATTTATTTCTTGTACCAAATCATAATTTTTTTGGAAATTTAACCATCTACGAAATAAATAAGGTGCAAACAAACATGTATTATAGAACGCGTTTATTATGCTAATCGGGATTATTAACGTAATGAATAGTGAACAAAGACATTAAAATCATATTCGTGATAGAAGATATCATTGTGCAACCTATATTCTCATTCGCAAGTTTTAACAACCGAAACTTAATTCGAGTCACGACCTTTAAGACGTTTATTGTCTTTCCAAACCGTGAATGCAAGGCATTAAAACGGTTTACGACTGCTTCATCTTACAACTTTGTGCATGTTCTATTCATTAAATTTGATCACACATCATTAAACCCAATTCATTATGGATCCAATAGGTAATTTTCCATGTGATTTGATTCTTTGGTCCTTCTTTCTTCCAGAGCTGTGGTACCCTGTGGCACCTCCGACTTCTTCTTTTGCGTATAACTGCACCAATTTCCTACTATTGCATTGATAAACTTTGTGGCGGCATTATCGGGTGACTCCTTAGCCCGAGACCTAGATGAAATTTTATCACTTTCATCAATGCTTGTTCTTATCCCAGACTCATACCTGGCTCAAATGGTGGAATCTTTTGGTCTAGACTTGTTGGAATCAATGCATCGAGAATGGTTATGAATATAGAAATTGAAAAACATGTGGTTTGAATGATTCACGTGAGAAGGGAAATCAGATACGTACAAATGTTGTACAAAAGGATGAACATAGACAATTTTGGAGAAGACCAATCGAATTAACGTGAAAAATTCATGTCTCTGGCAAACATAGTTGGCCGAATATACAGAAAACCTCGTTCCTAGGAACGATGGTTGTGCTTATTATTATTATTAGTATTATTATTAGGGATATTTTCTATGAACAAGATGCCAGAGCATCATTGAGCAGAACTTGTCAAGCAACTCACACAGCGACCTCCCCATTTTTTCCGCAAATCTTGGAACGTGATTGGCTAACAGTTAATTTTCCATAAAAAGTAATAAAATTGAAATGCAAGTT